CCGCCAAGTGTTGCACACTGTCAATCTCTAGTCAGGCTAAGACTTGGAGAAAACCAGCTTTCAGGACAAATTCCTAAGGAGATAGGCCAACTGCAAAACCTTGTCTTTCTTGACTTGTACATGAATCATTTCTCTGGAGGCCTTCCAGTTGAGATTGCCAACATCACAGTTCTTGAACTATTGGATGTGCACAACAACTATATAAGTGGTGAAATTCCATCTGAGCTTGGGGAGCTTGTGAATATGGAGCAGCTTGATCTCAGCCGAAACAGCTTCACTGGCAAAATTCCATGGAGCTTTGGAAACTTGAGTTACTTGAACAAGCTCATCATCAACAATAATCTACTCACAGGCTCAATACCGAAATCTATTCGCAACTTGCAGAAGCTAACTTTGCTGGACTTGAGCTTCAACAGCCTCTCTGGACCAATCCCACCTGAAATTGGTCATGTGACAAGCTTAACAATCAGTTTGGACTTGAGCTCAAATAGTTTTACAGGAGAAATCCCAGAGACAATGGAGGGTTTAACACAATTGCAATCACTTGATCTTTCTCATAATATGCTCTTTGGAAACATTAAGGTTCTTGGTTCTCTAACTAGTCTTGCTTCTCTAAATATCTCCTGCAACAATTTCTCAGGTCCTATACCAGTTACGCCGTTCTTCAGAACTCTTTCTTCAAGTTCGTATCTTAAGAACCCACATCTTTGTGAGTCTGCTGATGGGACTACTTGTTCTTCAAGTCTAATGCGGAAGAATGGTTTAAAATCTGCGAAAACCGTTGCTTTAATCTCTGTGATTCTGGCATCTGTAACCATAGCAGTTATTGCCTCATGGATTGTTGTTATGCGAAATCATAGGTACATGGTAAAGAAATCTTTAGGAGCATTGGCATCATCATCGGGAGCTGAAGATTTCTCCTATCCATGGACTTTCATCCCATTTCAGAAGCTAAATTTCACCATTGACAACATCTTGGATTGTCTCAAGGATGAAAATGTGATTGGGAAAGGTTGTTCTGGGATTGTCTATAAGGCTGAAATTCAGAACGGGGATTTGATTGCGGTGAAAAAGCTGTGGAAAACAAAACAAGAGGAAGAACCGATAGACTCTTTCGCTGCAGAAATTCAAATTCTTGGACACATTCGCCATCGGAACATTGTGAAGCTCCTAGGTTACTGTTCAAATAGAAGTGTGAAGCTACTTTTATACAACTTCATTCCCAATGGTAATCTGCAACAGCTATTGCAAGGGAATAGGAACTTGGACTGGGAAACTAGGTACAAGATTGCAATTGGCTCAGCTCAAGGTTTGGCATACCTTCACCACGATTGTGTCCCGGCAATTCTTCACAGGGATGTGAAGTGCAATAACATACTCTTGGATTCAAAGTATGAAGCTTATCTCGCAGATTTTGGTCTGGCAAAGTTGATGAACTCTCCAACTTACCACCATGCAATGTCCCGAGTAGCTGGCTCTTATGGTTATATTGCACCAGGTAAGGCTATTTCATTTTTGCTTTGAGAATTTAATATAAATTGTAACACACTGCCCTCTCAAATTAACATTTGATCTTTTCCTAGTTGGCTGTATAAGAGTATTGATGATGCACGATTATGCATCAAAGGTTGCATTAGAATATTTATAAAAATTTGTTCAATCTGGATGGCTCTAGTTATCCAAATACAAATAGATTGGTATTTATTTTGTCACAAGTCTTGGGAATGATTCATATTCTAACAAATAATAATCTCCATTATGAATGCAGAGTACGGATACACAATGAACATAACAGAGAAGAGTGATGTCTACAGCTATGGTGTGGTTTTGCTGGAGATCCTAAGCGGGCGTAGCGCTGTTCAGCCACAGATTGGTGATGGGCTACACATTGTTGAATGGGTGAAGAAGAAGATGGGAAGCTTTGAACCAGCTGTATCAATACTAGATGCAAAGCTCCAAGGCCTGCCAGATCAAATGGTGCAAGAGATGCTGCAAACACTCGGAATAGCAATGTTCTGCGTAAACTCTTCGCCAGCAGAACGGCCGACCATGAAGGAAGTGGTGGCATTGCTAATGGAGGTTAAGAGCCAACCTGACGAATGGGGAAAAACTTCCCAACCCCTAATAAAGCAGTCTTCGGCTCAAAGCTAATTTTTATCCTTTCTTCTTTCTAAACCTTCCAAGGACATTAGTGAATTGATTTTCTATCCCAACATAAGAGAATATTACTATTGAGGGACATGAGGAAAGTTTGAGTAGTTATTTGGATAGTGATGGGTTTAGGTTGCTTGTACAGTTTTGAGACGTCAATATGGTGAAAATGCTTCATGTCACACTTCCCTGCATTTCTTTTTTTTCCTTTTTTTCACTATATTTTCATAATTTTCCTTTTTCTTTTTAAATCGTTACAGATTACCGTATTGTGAGAGACACGTTATATATAATAGGCATGTTCGCTAGTTTTTTCATCTTGGTTTGAATTGCTGAAAATGTGGCTGAACCTTAGCATATCAGCAATTGCTTCTTTCAATCTTGTTTTTTTCCTTAACAATTTTGAAGTACTTAATTTTAATTGATCACATATAGAATGAATATTCTAGATTCTATGTTGTCTAAGACTAAATCTCTGCTTGTAACAACACAAAAGAAAAGCTGTCATTCCTCAACAAAAATCACAAACAGTATCAACAATTTTGGAGGCAGAAATAAGAGAATGGAAAAGCAGCTGCCACACTTGTAGGCCCTGAATTGCAGCTTAAAATGCAGACAGACAGAAACAGGGCATGCCTCCCTCTCCCTCCCCCACATGCTCAGCAGACACAAGATTTGTCACCCATGTCTCTCAATTTCCTCACTTCGTTTGGTCCATGCCACTTGACCTTTTCAGAATTGATGGTTCAAAAAAGCATATAATCAAAATCAACTTTTATCATATATTATTTAAACATTGCAATATCAATAATTAATTCTATCAGCTTCTCTTTTTGTTGCTTTGATGGTCAACTCAAAATCCTCTCAGTCCGGATATGATGGCATAAATATGACCCAGAAAAGAAGGTGAAAGCACAGCAGATTTTATAATGGTGCCTCCATATTCTCACCCTTACAATTTTGTAATAAGACTCAGAAGTCCTAGTTGAGGGGCTGAGTGGAAATGGAGGTAACAGGTTTGCAAGTCCCTTGAAAGCCAAATTTTTGTTATGTCCAAATCAACGACAGGAGGCCTTGGACCTTGGACTCTGAAGTCTTAAAGATGAAAAATGAAAAGTTAGAGCAGCAAAAGGAGGCATTGGACCAGTCGTTAGTGGCTCTTAGAGCTGAGCCCAACGGCTCGTCCAAAACTACTTCTGCTACTCTAACTTTTAATTTTGTTTCATCAGCCATCTTTGATTTGTACATAACCAAAATTTCACTTTCAAGTAACTTGTAAACTTGTTTTCTCCTTACAGCCTCTTTTAACAATGGCGAAATTTTGGTTAGGGATCGATTTCTAAGACAAGCCAAAGACACGGTGAGGGAGCTCTCACAGGGGAGAGAGGTTTTTTTTACCCTTACTTCACAAGATTGTTGAAGGCAGGATATTTGAGGGGAGGGGGAGGGGGGTATTTAATGACTGAAAATATATACATCCATTCCCCCATGCAATTAATATGAATAGGGGTAGAATGTGGTTAACATGCAGAAGATTCAGATGGTAGGTGAAGATGGTAATTTTTCATTTGGTTTGACTGGATTGAATGGATGCAAGGCTAGTTCCACAAGAATTGGATGCTTCAAGTATCATCACTCTTACAAACGCTGCATTTTCATTAAAAATAATAATTTGTGTTTTTTTTTTCCACCATCTCTCTGATGTGGTCAAATAAATAATTTCATTAATATTCTAAAAAATATGAAAATTGGATTAAGTGTGATCAATAAACTTGTTATCTACTGGTGTGATGAGTTAGTGTGTGTGAGAGTGACATTCTTTTTCATGTAGACTGTAGTCGAAAACTAAGATTAATGGCCACCAACGGCCATTGAGATTATTACTAGTAATTCAATCACTAAATACTTATTTTGGCACTAGCCTTGCATCCATTCAATTCAGTCAAACCAAATGAAAAATCATCATCTTCACCTACCATCTTCTGCATGTTAACTACATTCTACCCTACTCACATTAATCGCATGAGGAGGATGGATGCATATGTTTTCAATCATTAAATACCTCCCTCTCCCTCTCCCTCTCCCTCTCCAGGAGGATGGATGCATATGTTTTCAATCATTAAATCCCTCCCTCTCCCTCTCCCTCTCCCTCTCCCTCTCCCTCTCCCTTCCCCTCCCCCTCCCCTCCCCATCGCATCTTTCTTTCCTGATTGTAGTTTTCAGAATTTCTACTGCAGTCTCTATCAAAGTTTTTATTTGCAACGTCAAAGACAATGTAATGCTAAAGCACTGATAGAATTGGGGGCACCCTTCAAATGAAATGGTGCAAGTTTGCAAGTCCCTTCATAATGTAACGTTGAAGCACCAATAGAATTGGGGGCACCCTATGAAGGGACTTGCAAACTTGCACCATTTCATTTGAAATACTCCAATCTAGTCTATGTCAAGTCCTTATAAATGAAAATACAGTCCAATCTCCTCTATGTTACACTAGCTTAGGAAAAATTGTACTTTCAAAAATGTAATCGAAGCTTTTCTTTATACTTTAAAAAATGTAAACGAAGTTTTCCTGGTAAAATAGAGGTAATCCACTAGTCTGTTTGTGACAATGTTTCAGTTTTATCGTTATCGAAACCATAAGCTATAGAAATTTCCTAAATTAAGGTGTCACGCATGTAGGAGATTAGAGTATTTCAAAATATAACTTCACAACAATAGAAGTTGCACCATTTCATTTGTAGAACAGTCATCCTCCCTAGCTCTGTTCCCACCATTATAAGTTTCTTTTCTACTAAACCAATGAGCAATACAAAGAAACAACTTTACTTAAGAAATTAGAAGACATAATCTATTCAATGATATCTTAATTCTCTTAATATCTTCTTCTTCTTTTTTTGATATTATTCAATTCAGTCAACTGATTCTAGACATCATGGCACAGCAAAATCATCAAGGTGGAGTCAGGTAAATTCATATTTTGGGGCCTCCACAATTGGAAGGCCACCATAGAGTAGTTCCAAGGACTAATCTAGATAGCCCATGCCCACCACATGACAAACCATGTCCTCTTCTGCAAACCTATTATTTCTTCAACATACTTGTGCCAATTGCTTTTTCTTTATCCATCTTCTTTTGGTCTCTTCTATGCTACACCTGTGGGGTCCTAGCGTGTGAAAGAAAAGGAGAATAAACAGTCAAATGAACTCGAATGCTGGCCAGCACATTCACTTATCAAAATCTAGTACCATCAGCTCTGTTTCTAAATTGATGCAGGACAGAGAATAATATGTATAGAGGATAAAGATAATAGAAAAAAGGAGAGAGAGAGAGAGAGAGAGAGAGAGAGAGAGAGAGAGAGGAGAGAGATATAGATTGAATATGAGAAGTAACAAAACAGGGGAGAGAATTAGGATAAACTGAGAGTCAACTTGAAGCCACCTATCAAAATAAGGCCTATAGGAAACCCCCAAAATAAATTAAGCACCTGAAAATAATTCAATACAACAGTAACAAGTAAAAGGAAATAAATCATTTTTAAATCCTAATATAGTCAAAATAATATCGGAGCTTCGCACCTATGCCTAAAATAAATGCAAATCTCATTCACCTGTCAGTGTCAACGTTACTCTCAAATCATAAAATGAAAAAAACAAAATAAGGGTTTTAGCAAAACTATTGCTAGCCATTGTAGTTAGTTTAGCAGCTGTTTCTTTACTTAAACTTGGTTCCTGTGCCTCATTCTAAAAAGTTCTTACATACCACCTCAAATAGGTTTGGAGTGGAGGATTCTCTTGTACGTTCTTATTCTCTTATTTATTCAATAGTTATTGCATTGAAATAATTTTTTTTTTGAAAAACACTAAGCATAGTGCTAAACTATTTAGGAACTATTTCATTCAAAACGACAAAAAGAAAATGTCATTAACAAGCTAAACTCAAGAAATGCTTCTTAAGAAAAATATTTTAAAATAAAGGATGAAACAATGAATATAATTTCTCTGGCGTTTCCAGCACCAGGTAATTTCCAGAAGCTTTTCACTGATTCCCTATATGGGTTTGTCAACTTTAGATAACCTGTTCTAAGCATCAGCCCTTATATTACATCTCTGTATTAGTATCAAATTTCCTTCTTCCAGAATTTCATTGGGCTTATTGCACCTCAGTATTACCTACAATGCAAATACACCCAAATTGTGGGGGGACAAGATTTTATTTTCTTTACATTTGCAGGGCAATCAATCAGAGCTTAGTATGAGAAACAGTAGTGCATAAGAGGAATTTCAGTGTCTGTATTCACCAGTGAAAAAAGAGGACTTCCAAAATAATGTGACCCATCTTAAGATAACTCTTCATAAGAACTCTTAATCGATCATTTAAGCTATCTTGGATCATCAATTACCAAACAAAAGTGTTTAGATTTAACCGAAACTTCCATTTTTTCAGACTACTGCCACCAACCACAGTTTAGTACCAGGAAAGAAGATAATGCACTTGTGCACTAAAAAGATCAGTTCAGGTCCTACCTGAATTTGGTGAGGGATGCTGGAAAAATATGGAAAACACGCACAGGGAAGAATGACTAAGGGAAAAAGAAATTGTAAGAATCAAAATCAACAAACTTAATTAAAAATAAGAAGAAGAAGAGAACGAAGAGGAGAAGAAGATGAATGAACAGTAACAAACCAGACATGCATTTGTGTAACATATCTGCACTTTTACTTTTCTGAAGAATCATCTTTGAATGTAGGTCTCCCTAGAAGTTTTATTTGATTTAGATCTACAAGTTTTATTTGATTTAGCTGCATTCCCAAGAGTTGGAGCAAACTTTCAAAATTATCTAGGTTATCCAAAAGAGGTCCAGCTCCTGATCAATAGTGGTCAACTTTTCAATATTTTGCAGTTTTTTTATGGTTAAAAAGATAACCGAGACTGACAGATACAAGAATCAATTATGCAAGCCTGTTGCCCTTCATTGACCTTGTGCCAACTTCCAATAACCTAAATATGCATTAAGATCGCAAAGGACCCACTAGTGTAGTGGTTTGGAGCAATTGCTCACCCAGGTGAGGTCTTAGGTTCGAGTCCTAGCCTCTGTGTAAAGTGTGCGAGTTTAGTCTGTTATCGCCCCTCTCAATAGGAAAGGTCTTCAAAAAAAATATATGCATTAAGATCAACTAACAAATTAAAAAGATGACTGTTGTGCTTTGAATTTCTACCTTGAATTATATTAATTATTTTCTTTTGAGCACGTAGTAGTTAATATTAGCATATTGAAGTTAATTATAAGATGTGAAGAGCATTCACAGTATCATGTACTATGTGGCTTTGACAATACTGTAGTTTTCTTAAGTGGGGAAAGAGGACATGTGATCATCCTTTAGCAGAAAAGGCTCCCTTGATTCTTCTCTTGAGCTCCTTCCTACGGGGCTCCTATGCTGGAGTACCAACTGATGTAGTGGGTGATGTTAGCACATTTCCTTCTGCAGAGTGACAACATTAGGGTATGGTTGTGATCATGCAGCAGCATAGGTTTTGGGTCCTCAACACCAGAGACTGGAAAATATGGCTTCTGGTGAAAAATAATCAATTGTTTTGGCCAAGGCAATGGCTCCATCAGGCTTTAAAAAAAACTTTTCATTTGTGTCTTACTTGTATCTTAAGTAAGATCCTTACCGTTGCTAGATGTTTCTGGAATGAACTAACTTGTTTAGTTGGTTTTCCTGGGTATTTGATTGGTAGCAACTAATCTTACTGGTAGGAATAGGATCTAATTGCCAGGTCCTATCTAATGGATTTCTCCTTTACAAATAACAATGCCAATATAACTTAAATACCCCGCAAAATAAGTAGGCACCATATCACTAATAACTCTTTATACCATTCAGTTGACTGGTTTCATCTACTCTTAGAATAAATGATACTAAAAACAAAAGGATTATAGACATGGTATAAAATCCCAGAATTTCTGAACAGTGCACAAGACAATTAGCAAGAACGCAATTTAGAACATGAACTGCAGAGTACACCAATTTCCACAATTAGCAAGATTTGAATAATCTATTTCCTTTCTTCTAAAATAAAAACAGCCAATTATTCAAAGAATCATCCCTAATTTAGTACCACCAACTCTTTGCCTAACTTGTCGTCAAAAATCAGAAATACATAATCAAAGCATAAACGAATTTATCGAAATACAAAAAAAGGGGCAAAACCTCATATCCACCAACCTCATTATCACTCATCCAACTGTTTCAGCTCAGCCTTCAACTGCTCAATCTTAAGCCCCATCGCCCTCTGCAATGCTGCCTTTTTGTCCTCCGGCGACTTAGCCAATAGCCCATCAAACAGGTCCAGCACTTCCTTCACAGCAGTTCGAGCACACTCTGCCTCTTCATCAAAATAAACAGTCTCTTTGGACTCCATGGCCATCTCTATCTCCTCCCTTGCCTCTGCAAACTTGAGGTTGATCATGTCCACCTCTTTGTTCTGATCAAACCCATCCGCCCCACCGCTGAATTGTCTCAGATTATGACGATTTATGAACTGGGTCGGTGAGTTTGAGAACGTCGGGTGAAGAAAATGAGGGGAATTTGTGGTGGGTTTGTGAAGAAGAAGCTCAGGAGTCTTGGGTTTCGGCAATGGAGCTGAGTCCGAAACGCACAGAGCCGGACTCGTTGTGAGCGAGTTGAGGGAAAAGAGGTTTGGAGAAACATTGAAAGAGCGTCTGAAAAGCAATTTGCAGAGCGAAGCTTGTGAATGTTGATGATGCATTTTCTCTCTCCCAATTTGCAGAAGAGGAAATGTATGTAATTACTAAAGCAAAGAGAGGAGAGACTTAAAACCCCCATCATCAGTCTCTACCCAATTAAACCCTAAAAATTTGACAAAATTTAAAAAATATCTTTGTGAACATTTGATATTCTACTTTAATTTAATTTAAACTACGAAAAGGGTGCTTCGAACTCAACTTAGCTAAACTCATGTATACAAATATTTAAACCAAAATAATTTTCAATTTGTTTTAAGGAAAAAAAAAAATTATAGTATTTTTCTTTAATCAATCTCTATGTAAGAGCTGGTAATCAACTCGTACTTTTTAGAGTACCTCCAACCCCAAAGGGTAAGGGTAAGGCAAAAGTTTGTTACTATTCATATGAATACTGGCAGCCTTGTCTTTTTTGATTCCACCCCAAAAGATAAGGGCAAGGGCAATTACTATTCACTTTAATTTATTTTCTATTTTTTATACTTAAATCATTAATTTTGATAAGCGTTTTGGATAAGATTTTCGATTGCCACGTGTCAATATTTATTATAAAATTCTCACCTAAAAATTCAGATTATATTTTCGGATAAAATTTTCAAATTAAATTTTCGGTTTCACGTGTCCATATTTATTATAAAATTCACATCTTACTCATCATACAATTGAAATACTCCCAGTCCTCATAGTCTGACATAATCAAGTATTATTGGTGGAGGCGATTTCACTGGATCATGATGTGGGGGAGTATTTTCCTTCGAATGACGTAATAGTACAATTATTTCCGACACAGAACGCACCACTGGAATCGACTACGGGCATTGTTCACTTTAGGAGCCATGCGTAATGGTTTTCCTCTTTTTTGTTTTGCCTTGAATAATCTATTAAAAAAATTAAATTGGAAATGCAAGAAATATATAATTAAAAAAATGATATTAAATTGAATAAAATGGCAATTAATTCTTTTTACCTTGTCGCCAAGATTTTGACCTCTTCGAATATTTGTCCACGACCCTCCAGCTTCGATGGAAGAGGCCATTTGTATTTTTGCACAAATGAAATTTTGTAGTAGAAAATTTGGTGTGGAAAGTGAAAAATATTGGAAGGAGATGAATTTGTATGAAGATTTGGTGTGAAAAGTGAATAATATTGGTAGGTATTTATAGAAAAAATTTCTAGAATTTTTTGATTTTTTTTAAAAAAATGGTTTGATAATTTTTTTCAATTTTTTTTAGCCAAAAATTGGATAGCTGTTGGATTGGGCAAGATTTTTTGATCGGAGGCTCCAGGAGAAGCTACGTGGCTTGTAGCCATTGGGCTATGTGGGCTGGTGGGTCAGTAGCTGATTTTCAAATTTTTTTACTATTGGCGCGTGGAATACAAGCACCAACAATAAAAAAAAATTGAAAATCAAGCGTTGACATCAGTAGCCTGGGGGCAACAGCCCAGTCCATTTTGCATGTGGGCTTGCCCGAGCTACCTTTTGCACACTAGAGGTTGAAATCAAGCCTGGGGGGCCTGTTGCCAGGGCTTGGGTGCTGTGCTGCACTTGCTCTTATGAGATAGCTCGAGTTCGGTTTCGGCTCACTAATTAAAACCTTGCTTATAAAAATTAGACTTTAAGTCAATAAACTTCTTTAGTAAGAGTATTACTCAAACTCAAGCTCATTTCTAAGCTCGAATAAATCTCGCAGACCTATGCTTATCTTAGGTCGACTCAACTTGATATCGATTTTTTTTAAAATAGAAATTACAGGATTACATTCGTAATTCAGCCAAAAAATTCACTAGCCACAAAGGGCCATTACAATAACAGAATGACCTAACATCAAATTTAAGACAAAATGGTGTACCTCCACTAACGATCACGTAGGTTAAAAAAAAACTCTAGCATAGGCATCCCAACGAAGATTGCAAACTCAAAATAATCAAAAAGAGATAAAGCTTGAAAAAACCAAGTCATAACAATACATATAAAAGTCTCACAAATACGAGATGAAAGCTCTCACAAAGGAGAGATGAAAAGCTCTCACAAAAGGAGAGGTGAAAACTAAACAGAGAACCCAAGGAGCCTCTGCAACTTCCAAACATAAAGAAACCGCAAAAAGGATGTTGATGGAGATCCGATGTTGAAATGCAGGTGGAGATATGACACTGAGACGCAATTGCTTGTGATGCTTGGAGGAAAATCATAACAAAACAAAGACAAATAAGGAAAACCTTTTGTCTCTGAAAATGGTGGAAGAGAGGAAGAGAGGAAGGGAGGAAGAGAAGAGGGGAGAGGGGAGGAAGAACAGTGGCTTCCCTCCATTCTCAAAGTGAAAATGGCTCTAGGAGTGTTTTTTGAGAGAGAAGGGGCTAAGGTTTCTCTTGGCTCAATCTTGACTCAAATTCATGTCAGTTTTGGTTGTGCTCGCATTTTATCACATGTTTTGCAATCTTATCGTCACCTTGACAAGACAATTTGCCGACTATCAGGGGAGAGAAATGACAGTTCTTCAAGAACAACGTGAATTAGTGTGGAATACATCCATTTTTGTCTTACCAAGATAATTCATATGTAAGTTATGAATATGCTAGCATCCATTGACATCCCGAGAGCAAAACCCATCAACCACATGGTACCAAGTGACTATTAATGATTATCTTTTGCATGCATGAAGTATGATTAGGGATGGCAACCGGCCGGTTAGGATACGAGTATGACAATACCATCCCCGTGTTCGTTCTCTATCCCTGCCTTCATTCCTGTCCATATATCGGGTAGAATTTTTCGAGGAATCCCCGTCCCCGTTCCGTTTGGGGAATGCCTCTCAAACCTGCCCGATTCCACGAATTTTGTATTTAAAAAAAAAAATCATTATGCTTTATAACATAATAAATCTGAAATAATAAAAAATAAAAAATTCTCATCTTGCATGCTCGTCAAATTGATTATGCAAAAACAATAAAATTCTCATCTTGCATGCTCTTCAAATTGATTCTCATCTTGCATGCTCTTCAAGTTATAAGAATATAGCCAAAACAACTAAGGGCTCGTTTGGGAGTGCTTCTTCCCGAAGCGTTTATGCTAGTAGCGCTTATGCCAGTAGCACTTATGACATAAGTGCTTCTACAAAGAAGTAGTTTGTCGTTTGGATGTCACATTTAAAAGTGCTTTTACACTACATAAAAGCGCTTTAGATATTTTGTTGAGTGTTTGGCTAACATAGTAAAAGCGCTTTTAAAAGTACTTTAAAAAAATTTAAAGAACCCCAAAATATTATAATAAACATAGGAAATAAAAACTAGATATCTTTATATGGTAGTGTCTACAGTATATGTAATATTACTTTATATTCAGTCAAAACACCATTTATTTGATGTTTCATGCAAATTTGTTTAGAGGAGAAATTCCTCCAGACCTGGGGAATATGATGCAACTTGAGTATTTTGATGTTTCAAGTAACAAGCTCTCTGGCCAGATTCCAGAGAAAGTATGCAGCCTCAAGAATCTGTTTTACTTGAACTTCGCAGAGAACAGGTTGGAAGGGCCGATTCCCAAGACTGGTATTTGCCAGAATCTGTCGAAAATATCACTTGCTGGTAATAAAGGTTGTGTGGGAGAATCATGAATTTGGATTGCCAAGTCAAAAGTTTTGATAAGTCAGCTTTGTTGAATGCTGGGGGAGTTGCAGCTATTGTAGTTGGAAGTGCTCTGATAATTGTTGTCGTAGCTTTAGCTATAGTTGGAAGTGCTCTGATAAAACCCAGGGACATGGAGAATTCATTGCTGAAATGGAAACGTTGGGTAAGTTAAAACCACCAAAATCTCGTTCCATTGCTTGGGTACTGCAAGACCATGAAAGCTGAAACAGTTAACAAACGAGTGAATTTACAAAATGATCATCCATGGCTGCCAAGCGATGCACACAAACAGCTCTTTGTAAAAAAAGAAAAAGAAAGGGTATTTGGGCATTTAAAAAAATTAAATATGGGTATTTTCGGCATTTTAAAAGTTTCATTAAAGGGATCCAAGTGCTTCCCTTGTTTTTGTCCTGCAGCGCTTTTAAGAAGAAGCACATCTCAAGTGCTTCTTCCAAAACCACTCCAAGTGCTTTTGGATCTCACCCAAAGCGCTTTTGTAATTTTTGCCAAACACTATTTTTAAAAGACAGAAGCGCTTTCATCCATTTATAAGCGCTTTTCGCTGCTCCAAAAGCACTCCCAAACGAGCCCTAAGAAAGTGAGAGGGAAAGCAAACTAGAAGCACTCCAGTACAAAAATACGCGACAAACCCAAAAACCAAAATCAATCCCCAAGATCAAATATTAAAAGAAATTGTTATACCTTGTAACAAAAATATTTATTATTTTTACTTGCCTGCGAGATGCTTTAAAAAAAACAAATTAAATTTATTTTAGAATTAAAAAAGATAATGAGTAGTTGTATTCCATAAAAATAGGATCCATTATCTGATTTTTCTTTTAATTTTAATTTTTTTAATATGAAAAAGTGTGAATTTATCATATTATCCTCATTTAATTAAGAGTGCTGCTAAACGAACCCTAAAATTAACTGAGTACACCCTATGATCTAAGTACACCTTAATATTTAAATTAAATTGTAAAATTAACTAAGTAAACCTTATTTAACTACCAAAAATACCCCTAGTACACCCTAATACAATCTATCACAATTCAATATATTAAAATTACATTTTTTTAAATGTAATTTAAAATTAGTTTGCTATGCCAAGTCAAATGTTTGTGTGCTTCCACCGGTTGTGAGAGTTCATTATGCTAAAATTTTGCATTGGCAACAGATAAAATCTATTTCCTATTATTAGGCTCCCCTACCACTGTATCATGTATTGGTACATAAGAGCTCGTAGATACTTGGTCTTTGAACCTTCTCTTACTGTCTTAGCAGCTACAACACAAATAACATATAAGAAGTATGTTTTTTGTAACTTCGAACCTAGTACAATTGCAAAAGTTTGCAGAAGTTCGAGTTTTCTGAGTCTAAACTGCTCAAGAATCTTTTGAGTCTTTATTGGGATATTTGATGCTTTCTGTTTCTAAAAAAATGGTGGTAGTCGTGAAGG